TGAAGCTATTCTAGTGATAATTAATCATCTTGCAATAACTCTGGGCAAGAGTCTCCTATTTTTTTGAAAAAGATATTTGACATAAAATACAGTTATTATTGAGTCAAAAACCAGTTTATTTTTAATTTACTTTTTATTTTTTTTTTTTTTACTGAGATGGTTGAATTGTTCAGTATTACAACGATAGGAACAGGGAAATTAAATTAAAATGCACTCACTGTGAATGCCCTTCATGCAAGTCTGTTCTCCACTGTCCTTTGACCAATCCAGTTCTTCCCACTTTTTTTCCTGTAGTTCCCAAGGAAAAGTGAAGAATGTGTTGGGCATGCAGCATCCTGAGATAAGGAATGCTGGCACAGCCAACATTATCCTAGTGCCCTCTTACAAACAGGATGTCCTTCAGTACTCTGGCCCAGCAAATCATGTTGTCCCAGGATATAAAACCCCAGAAATCTTGGTGGCTTATAACAAACATTTGGTTTTCATGCTCATATGTTTGCAGGCCAGCTGGGGTGATTCTTCTGTCCAAACAGTGTTCAGGAATACTCCACAAATTTCTAATTTTGGGATTGGAGGTTACCAGAGGCACTTTTTTTTTTTTTTTGAGTAGAGATTCTTCTTCTCCTTTTTTTTTTTTAGTTTCTATTTTTCCATTTAGTTATACATGACAATAGAATTCATTTTGACATAATTATAAAAGCATGGAGTATAATTTAGTTCCCAGTACTTCCCTTTCCCCTTCCTTCCTCCCTCTCCCTGTTCCCATCCTTCTACTCTACTCATTTTTTCTGCTAGTTTATTATAATTGTTTTTTAAAAAGAATCCTTCTCCCTGTTCCCATCCTTCTACTCTACTGATTTTTTTCTACTAGTTTATGATAAATTTTTTAAAAATTGGTGTCTTGTGGATGCACATAATGGTGAGATTCACTGTGGTGTATTCATGTATGTACATAAAACAGTTAACATTTAAAGCTCTGATAAGACATGGAACACAACACATAGACAAGCCCTTAGTAGACTAAGAAGCTGTACTCTGCCCCAAATGAGTGGATGTGCAATTCTACTACAGGGACAGAGAAAATTTCAGAACAACAATGAAGTATACCACAACAATATTTTAAAACAGAATTTTTGAATAAAATTGGTAAATTTTACATAAACGTGGATTCTCAAATCTCTTTAAAGACTTGGGGGCTGGGGTTTGTAGCTCAGTGGTAGAGCGCTTGCCTAGCACGTGTGAGGCACTGAGTTTGATTCTCAGCACCACATTAAAAAAAAAATAAAGAGATTGTGTCCATCTATGATTAAAAAATATATATATTTTAAATTGAAAGACTCATCAATTCTGATCCTATGAGCAAAGGTCAGGTGGACTCGATTTTAGCTTTCTGCCTTTAGTCAGGGGAGTTGTTTCAATTTGCTAGAACTTTTTTCACCCAAGATTGCCTTTTGACAGCTCTCTTCACTCCTCATTATATCCTGGCTTCTGAAGGCTATTCAGTTTGTGACCTGTAGCATAGCAGGTAGGTCAGAAAGCACATACACATCTCACATTTCAACTGAAAAGTACCAAGGAGCTATAACATAGACAAATGGCTAAGGGAGAACCATAGGGTAGAGTATTTTAGGCTAGTGGCAAGTCATTAAGATAGAATAGTTTGTAGCAAACTTTATTAAAGAGATAAAATTGGAGTTAAGTCCCAAAGCACAGGTAAAAATTTGATATATAGCCAGAAGGGATATTCTAAGACGTGAACTGTGGGTACCAAAGATTATGTGAAATAGAAGCAATGCCCTTAGTGCTAGTACAGCAGCAATATTGGCCAAACCCAGGAAGATGTACTTACAGCCCATCTGCTTATTCTCAGATTATCATTCCTGATCTTATATGAATAAGAACTGAGTAACTTCCTCGGGGGAGAGACTCCTTGTCAAATTGTAAGAATAAAAGACAAAGGCAAGTTAAACTTTTTACATCAGATGTGTTTTAAGAGTGGTTTTCAGAAGTTGAAATTTTTACACATCCCCTTTTATTACGGCTGACATTTCAATATTTCAAGAACTCTTAGGGAATATTTTGATTGTGTGAAAATTTTTCCTTCATTTTGCATGAAGGCAATTCTCAGACTTTTGTAGGGTTTTAAACCTGAAGAATTAAAAAAAAAGTACTAATTCCTTCTGCCATGTTGAGTATGTATATTAGTTATTGCCACAAAATTGTGAAATAATTGTGTAACAATTCATCTACAAACTCATTGGACTGACACAATAACATTTATTTTCACAGATTTGTGGATTGACAGAGGCGACCGAACTAGGTGGGTTTGGCTTGGTGGTGCTGGTGGTCTTGGCTACCTTTGCTATGTCTTAACTTGCTGCAGTAGCCAGATCCAGGCTGGGTGGATTTTTTTTTGTATGTTTCTTATTCTTCCCTGTGAATCAGGGAAGATGACTAATGGTGCTGATGGAGCTGGAAAAGGCCAAATCCCTGTTTTCAACATGTTTGCATCCATTGGCCAAAGCAAGTCACATGGCTCAGACTAGAATTAGGATGGGAGTTTACTCTCTCTTCACAGAGGACTTTATAAAATTATAAAATGGTAAAAGGTGTTTACAGGAAACGCTAAAGAATTTGGAGCATTAATACAATGGATCACTTGGAGCAGATCAACTCTCATTCAACATGTGCACACAAGGCTGGAAAGATCAATAGTTTGGGAATTAAAGAACCCCGAAATCACAACTTGCCTCTACTTATTTGTTTGCTTGATTTTAGCATCTTGAAAATGGGGATGGTAACACAACCTAATTTTAATGATACAATACCTGCTTTGTATGATTGCATGGAGTGCCTAGAATCTAGTCAGGATTTAGAAAATGCTAGATCTCTTCTTCTGCAATTATTTTTTCTCCTGATTTTTTCTCTCTATCTTGTTTTTGGGGCTATAGTTTAATACACTCATTTTATAATTTCATCTTTAGAGAAAGATTCATCTGCTATTGTTTGGTGACTTGAATCAAACACTCATAGAACTTTTTTAATCTTATAGGAGGGATACGGATGAACATATTCTAATGCTATCATACCTTCTCAGGAACAGTGCCTTCAATTATTTTCAAAACATGCTCATTGAAGCTCTCTAGGCATGAACATTTTTTGACAAGTGTAAGCTGGGTGAAGATAGATTTGTGATTTCTAATGAAAGTTATAAAACTAAAAATAAACATGAATTACAAACACACTACAGTGATTTCTGAGCTTTCAGCAGAATGAATTCTAAAATAACAAGGGTGCTGCAGGCTGGCAATGCATGATGTGATGTGTTTGGAGCCAAATTGACATTACAGATCTGTATGGAAACAAATGTGTTGTCATGGTAGAATTGTCAAATTAAAAAAAAGTTTTTAGGAAAAACACTTGTAGTACTAAAGAATAGAGGTCTTGGTTAGGAAAGGATGCAAATTTGTGTGGGTGAGTAAGAATGAAAGGTTGAGGCCAAATGAAAGTTCCATCAAGAGTGAAAAAAATTCCTGAAATACATGCCATGTTGTCTATTAGGATTATTAGGACAGTTTATCACATATTTCCTTCAAGGGGGCATTTCAGTATTTATTTTTAAGAAGCTGAATGGAAGTGATATAATGACTTGTCATATTAGAAATGAAAATAATTCATGATGGTCTGTCTCAACTCATCAGAAATTGAAGTGCATTTATGTGAATGGAGGAGGTCACCTGACTTTGATGGCAGTGTGACCACCGTCTGATTATAGTCAGGGTCAGCTCCTAAGTGGCCATTTTTGTAATGTCAAAGTTAAGAACAAGGATGAGAGTAAGTCTACAGCAGCATTCATTTGAAAAGGGTCATTATTAATCAATGCGCTTATATAACATTTTACCAAACGGAAAGTTCTCGAATAGAATGGATTCAGAAGGCTCAGTCAGTTATATAAATTCTTAGTTTGTTTTAAACAAGGTACTGAAGGTAATGTCTGTCCTACCACTTCTGCAGGCTTGTTTTGAATATCAAATGAAATAATATATAATGAGAAAGTAATTTTTTAAATGTTGAAGTGTGAAGGTGTAGCTCGGTAGAAGAGCAATGCCGCAGTCTGGCTGGGCAAAATAACCGGTGGGTGACAAGCAACTTGGGAAGATTGAAACTGTGGGAGCCGCTTTATTGTAGGACAGCAAGGTATATATACATAACTGAATACACAGCTTGACTCAATTTAGCATCATCCAGTTACAGCAATTAGTCATTAAGGAATCCTCATCATCTTAATAATTATACACAGTTTAACTTAATTGACATAATCTAGACACAGCAGTCAGTCATTAAGGAATCTCCATAATCTTAATGGCTCGCTGGCATTACTTCTCAAACCACTCCTCCTGGCAAAGTGCCAGGCGCCATCTTGACTTGTCTGTGGCCCTCAACAGAGCAATTGTCTGGCATGCTTGAGGTCCTGGGTTTGATCCCACTACACACACATATGCATACGTGAACACAAACACAGTACAATAAAATATTTAAGTGCTGTACATATTTCTTTTAGCTGTCACAAAATCCTTATTTTGAAGAACTCTTTCTTTTTTTAGGATCCTTTTGGTCTTGGAAGTTCTTTTGCTGTATTGGTTTTAATTCAACCAAATACCATATTTAAAAAGTATTAGGATTAGGCAACAAATGCTAAGTTCTTAACAGCATTCACTCTTTGTGAACTAATAGTAAATTCCCAATAAGCAACGAAACAGGGAGGCTCATCACAGTGATAATTATAAATACTTACAATTATAAAACGCAAATATCTTTTAAATCCAAATTGTTCAATAATAAGAGGATATCTGAATAGATCTCATTGCTGCCACAACATGGGCATTGTGATGATTTTTTTTTAAGGCAATGACATGAGCATAGTGGAAATATTTAACAACCTGTATAGCACAGATTATAATGTATCAGCCATTATGCCATCCTGCTGGAGTAGAGTTCCGGAACTTTCTGACAGCATCACACGTATTCCTCCAGCTGACAAAATATGAGAAAGTCTACGGGTTGAAGCCAAGGCATGTTTGCTAGGGGCCAGTGAGGATACTCAGTGCAGCAACCCTTCCCCAACACTGTGGAAATATATTAAAACTTTAGTAACTCACATGGTTGGACTGCATCTTCTAGCTGAACATCAGCTTACAAGTGAGTTCAAAAATGATGGGATTTAAAGCCATATGTGAAGAACTATCCCATTAAATTATGGGATTAAATTAAGTTATATGAAAAATGCTAACAATGGCATTATTCTTTATTTTTGTCCACAGGTTCTCCATTTGTTCTTTCAATAAGAAGATATTCATCTTTCTAACTCTGGAGAAATTATAGCAGTTATTTGTTAAATTTCCTAAATATCTCCTTGTCTTTATTTTCCTTTTCTTTTGCTTCTGTAATTTCTATTATCAACTTTTATTATGTAGGTATCAGAACTTATAATTCTATTTTTCATTTCTGCTTTTTGTTTTTAAGTAGTTTTTGCTTTATTTATCTTTTTATTTGATCAAAGATAGTTTCTAGAATTCCTAAAAGAATTCACTAGGTCTTTCTTTATGTGTATTCATTTAAATATTTATCTTATCTTTTGTGATTTTAAAGAATTTAAATACAGTTTAAATTTAATATTTTTAATATTAATAAATTCTAGATTTTAATTAGTTTTGTTCTATGCTCTTTATTTCTTCCTTTATTTTCTTTGATGTATTCACCCTAATTATTTAAAATTTCTTGGGCTATTTATTCTAATTATTTTATTTCCAGTGGTACATTTTGACCATTTTTGGGGAAGTGTTGTGTTTGTACTCTTTAAATCACACATTATTTTGGGTTGTAAGTCTATATTCTTCTAGGGTATTAGCAATTTTTTTCTGATAATATTCTTTGAGTACAGATAAAATTCTGTGAATTGAATATGAATTTCACATACAACTTTATATCTTTAAGTATTAAGTTGCTAGACATGGAGTTTCTGGGCCAACAAGTATGTATGATGTATAGACCACAAATTTATTAATATTAAAAAATCAAATTTCAATTTATATTTAAATTTTTTAAAAATCACAAAAGATAAAATAAATATTTAAATTAATACATATAAAGAAAGACCTAATGAATTCTTTTAGGAATTCTAGAAACTGTCCTTGATCAAATGGGGAATGAGAAATAAAGCAAAACTGTTTCAAAAAAGAAAAAAAAGGAAAGAAGCATAAGTGAAAAATAGAATTATAAATTCTGATATCTACATAATAGAAGTTGAAAATAGGAATTCCAGGAGTTAACAGGAGGTGGTGAAAAACATCCCATAATATTCACAATTCCATAATTTGGGCCATTCTTCCCTTCTTATTTGAACAGTTTTCATATTTATGATATTTTTGTTTGTTTTGAGGAGCCAAAATTCTACACTCTTTGAAATACAACGGGTTATTGTCTTCATAATTTCTTCATTTATTTTATGCTTACAAAGTATTTGTCACCCTTATTTCCAAAATTTTCTATAGCTATTATGAAAATATATCTAATCCTTTAATCTACTTGGAATTTATTTTTGTGACATAATTAATTGATTGCAACTTTAGTAAGCAGTTGGATATTGATGGGTAATTGAGGGTCCCTTTTAAATTGTTGCTTTTTCAAAACAGCGACAATTATATTTGTTATTCTCTAACAGCACATAATTAGAAAAGTTAACATGCGACCAGCATTTATAAGTGTTCCTTCTTTTACACATTAAATATTCTGGGGGAAAAAGAATACAACCAAAATAGTACTTGGCTTCTTTGTGCTCTCAGATTGGCAAAAATGAAAACATTATGATACATATTGTATTATGGAGTGGAAAAAGGAACATAATCAAGTCTCTTTTTGTCTATAAGTTAAACCTTTCAAATGAAGGAAAATTGGCAGTACCAACTGAAATTAGCAGTACCAATTTATGCGTGCTAAAAAAAAATCACACGAGAATTTTTTTAATTAAAAACTATTCTTAGGGCAACTTTAGGTTTACATAAAAATTGAACTGACAATACAGTTGCATATATCCTTTCTGTCCCTCTAGTTTCCCCTATTATTAGCTTGTTGCATTAGTGTGGTAATTTTGTTGCCATCAATGAATCCACACTGATAACACTATTATTAACTAAAGTGCAGAGTTTACAATTAGAATTTATTTTGTGCTGTTCAATTCTATAGGCTTTGACAAATGGATGTTATAATCTGCCATTATAGCAGCATAGGGAATAGTTTTACTGCCCTAAAATTCCCCTGGCTCCACTTATCCATCTCTTCCTTCCTTCCCTCAATCTTCTAGCAACTATTGATCTTTTTGATGTCTCCAGGGTTTTGCCTTTTCCACAATGTTAGTTAGTTTGAATCATACACAGTGTAATTTTTTTCAGACTGGCTTATTTCATTTAGTAATATGTATTTAAGAATCTTCCATTTTTTTCATTATTTGAGCTTATTTCCTTTTTTGGTGACTAATATTCCATTGTATGAATATACTATATTTTGCTTATCCATTTGCCTGTTGAAGGATATCTTGATTGTTTATGGATTTTTAAAAAAAATATTGTCTTTTTTTAAGATATACATGACAATAAAGTATATTTTAACATATTACATATACATGGAGTGTAACTTCCCATTCTTGTGGTTGTATATAATGTGGTGTTTCACTGATCATATAATCATATATGAACATAGGAAAGTTATGTTTGATTAATTCCATTGTTTTTCCTATTCTATCCTCCCTCCTTCCTTGCTTCCCTTTGTCTAATCCAACAAACTTCTATTCTTCCTCCCCATCCCTCTCATTTTGTGTTAGCATCCACATATCAGAAAGAACATTCAACCTTTGGATTTTTAGTGACTGGTTTATTTCATTTAGCATGATAGTCTCCAGTTTCATCCATCTACCAGTAAATGCCATAATTTCATTTTAGTTTATGGATGAGTTATATTCCATTGTGTGTATATACCACATTTTCTTTATCCATTCACCTGTTAAAGGGCACCTGGTTTGATTCCGTAGTTTAGCTGTTATGAATTGAGCTGCCATAAACATTGATGTGGCTTCATTACTGTAGTATGCTGATTTTAAGTCCTTTGGCTATATACTGAGGAGTGGGATAACTGGATCAAATTGTGGTTCCACTTCTAGTTTTTTTTTTTTTTGAGGAATTTTCATACTGGTTTCCATAATGGTTGTACTATTTGCAGTTCCATCAGCAATGTATGTGTGTACCTTTCCCCACATCTTGCTAACATCTATTGTTACTTGTATTATGAATGATTCCATTCTGACTGGAGTGAGATGGAATCTCAGTGTAGTTTTGATTTGCATTTCTCTAATTGCTAGAGAAGTTGAACATTTTTTCACATATTGTTGACCTTTGTATTTCTTCCTCTGTGAAGTGTCTGTTCAGTTTCTTTGCTCATTTATTGATTGAGTTATTTGTGTTTTTTTTTTAGTGTTAAGTTTTTTGAGTTTTTTATATATCCTGGAGATTAATATTCTATCTGATGTGCAGGTGGCAAAGATTTTTCTCCCATTCTGTAGGTTCTCTCTCATGCTCTTGATTATTTCCTTTGCTTTGAAGAAATTTTTTTAGTTTAATAGCATCTTATCTATTGATTCTTGATTTTACTTCCTGTGCTTTAGGAGTCTTTATTGAGGAAGCTGGTTGTTAAGCCCACATGATGGCAAGTTAGGCCTATAGATTCAGAGAAAGCAGTTATGAAATTCATTTGGAAAAATAAGAGGCCCAGAATAGTCAAAACAATTCTTAGTGAGAAAAGTAAAGCAGGAATCAAAACATACTAGGCCTTAAATTATACTACAAAACTACAGTAACAAAAAAAGGCATGATATTGCCACCAAGACAAACACATAATCCAATGGTACAGAATAGAAGACATAGAGACAAACCCACATAAATACAGATATCTCATAATAGACAAGGGCACCACCAACAACATGCATTGGAGAAAATATAGTCTATTCAACAAATGTGCTGGGAAAACTGGAAATCCATATGTAGCCGAATGCAGTTTAACCCTCTTTCTCACCCTGCACAAAACTCAAAGTGGATCAAGGACCTAGGCAATAAACCAGAGACCCTGCTCCTACTAGAGGAAAATGTAGGCCCAACTTTCCATTTTGTTAGCTTAAGAACGGATTCCCTCAATGAGACTCAATATTTACTGTATCCAGAATTGTTAGAATTTTAACCATTCTAATGCAAGAAGTAAAAACCAAGAATCAATAAATGGATGATATCAAATGATTGTTTATAGATTTTTTGACAATAATGAATAAAAGTACCATAAATGTTTGTGTGCAAGTTTTTATACGGGTATAAATTTTCAACTCCTTTGGATAAAATTCCAAGAAGCATGACTATGAATCATACAGTAAGACATCAGCATTGTAACATATAGCATTGTAAGAAACTGCCAAACTGTCTCACAAAGTGGCTGACTCATTCTGCATTTATACCAGCCATGACAGAAATTTCCTATTGTTTCACATTCTTGTCAATATTTACTGTTGCCAGAATTGTGAAAATTTTAAACATTCTAATAGCTGTGTGATGGTATCTTATTGTTGCTTTTATTTTCAGTTCCCTAATGACATGTGACGCTGAACATCCTTTCATATTCTTATTTGTGGTCTATATATCATACATACTTGTTGGCCCAGAAACTCCAGGTCTAGCAACTTAATACTTAGAGATACAAAGATGTATGTGAAATTCATATTCAATGATGCTCAATAGTGAGTCATTTGTAATAGTCCAAGATTAGATCCTTCTTGATTTCTAAAAATATGGCACTTAATGAAGATGAAAAAATGTGGTCACACCATGTATTCTTTTATGAAACATATGCAGAGCATATAGTTAACTGAAAAAATGAAGTCATAGAACAAAATATAATAGTATAATCCAATTTGTATTCCAAACTATGGGAATTGGAATAAAAATATCTGTATTAATGTAATAAAAATAAATCAATCGTGGTAGCCTCTACAATGTTTTCCTTTAAAATGATTATATTAATTATTCAAGTTTAACACAGAGTACCATATTATTCTTACAAAATGAGGTTGCCAGATAATCTTAAAAAACTATCAATAATTTTATGTTATCTCTTCACAATACTATACAGAACATCTCCCAAATATATGTATCTGTATTATTATGATAAGGTAAATAAAACACCACATGACTTTTCCTCTACAATCTTACATGAGCCCCACCTACATGTTAAGAACATTTATCTCAGAGCTGGGACTGTGGCTCAATGGTAGAGAGCCTGCCTAGCACCTGGGTTTGATCCCCAGCACCA